AAGGTGAGATCTCGACCTGAGCTATAGTACATACATTTGTTCAATCCAGCCATGTCCCCATTTCAGAGTGTCCTCCCCCCCTAAACCATTCCTGATGTGGTCTAAGGCTGCACTGGACTAACTCTAGTCAGATCAGCCCAGCCAACAGCTGACAGATGATTGATAAACAATGACAGGGGCAGTGAGACTTAGTCACAGTAAACATCAAAGTAGGGCTGTGAGTCACCTACAGAACTGAAAACCCAGACACAACTCCTAAGCCCAACAACAGGGAAACATGTAAATAAACTTACCTTTCTTTTTTTCTTCTCTGTTTTTTAAAGATTTGTTTACTTACGCAGAACTGGGGTACAGGCCAGAGGTGCAGGGGTGGCAAGAGGATTCACCAGAGACAGAACAGGGAACAACAGGCAGACCCACAAAGTACACTGCTGAGGGGAGCAGCGGGTGGGTCAGGAGAGGTCTGAGGCGCCATGTGGGTCAGCTCCTTGACTGGGGATCAAACTTGTGCTGCAGTGGCTGTGGATAGCTTAGTAGTGCTATGCTTTAACTCAGGGTTGTGCCACCAGGGAAGGCCCCTAAACTGACCTCTTTGTTTTCCTTCAAAGGCAATTCCACTGAAACTGCCCAAGAAATATAATGGGGGGAGGGGGGCTAGGGGGGTGGGAGTGGAAGAAGCCTGTAGCAGCACTGGAACAGAGAACAGCATTATAAAAAGTGGAGTCTAAAGAATGCCCCCCCCCCAATAAAGCAGATGGAATCAGCAACAGAAAAGCTGATCATGCCAGATTTAATGTGGACAAAATGCAGGGCTCCAGAAGTGGATGGGTTTCCCCAGAAAGTGCCCAGATGCACAGCAGCTGCGATTGGAAGCAGGGGCAGGAGTGGAAGACATGCAAAGCCACCCCATCAAAGTCAGGATCCCGACTTCTCTGCACTCTAAAGCCCTAGTCAGAGAAGTAAGGGTGGAGAGAAAAGCATCAATGTCAGCAAGACTTCAATTATCACTATTTGCATATAGGATTTTCTGCTTAAACAAATCAAACAACTAAAAAACTATTTTTTTAAAATGTATTTTATTTATTTATGTATAAAGAGCTGTTGGCCAGGGGTGGAGGGTTGGTGGTGTGAGGATTCACCAGACAGAGCAGGAGCAGAATGGGCAGATTGACTGAAATATACTGCTGAGGGGAGTAGCGGGGAAGGACAGCAGAGGCCTGCTGCAATGGCTGCTGATCACTTCACAGCTGAGCCTTAACCCTTTGCACCACCAGGGAGGCCCTTCTTTTTCTTTCTTCTACATGTTACATGTCATATTAAAAAAAAGAGAGAGTTCAGTAGGAAACCAGAGAATATTCAAAATAACCAATTGTCCTAAATACAAACTCAAGAATCAGTCAAGGGAAAGATATTTTCCACAAGAGTAGTAGAAATTCTTTGTAAATTAAGAACTCTGAAGAAAATAATAAAAACTTGCAGCAGGATGTTTTAAAAAACCTCACTCAGAGGGGAAAAATATTTCTGAGTAAGAAGACAGTATCTACCTTGGCCTGTCCATTTAAACTCAAACCCAATGTGTCTCTTTGGGGAATTTGAAAAACTGAAAACAAGCATTATCTGAAAAAATACAATCAATATTAAAAAAAAAAAAAGGAATGGAAGTGACCTATCAGATGTTAAAACTTATTGCAAAGTGTCAATGAAAACATACCCCAAACAAGGTGTCGCCTTTCACACGGAGCAGCAAAATACTTAATGCTTGATGTGCCTGGGGTGATGGGCACAGGACACACCTGCAAATTTCTGAGTGTGGTGTAGGCTGGTGAAAACTTTCTGGAAGTCAAGTTCCCAAAATTTTCAATGCAAATAGCCTTTAAGACACTAGTTGTGTTAAAAACTTTCTCATCAATATGCTTGGAAACACACCAAGGAGCATGTTTAAAGATGTTTGTCCTACCTTTCTTGTAATAATAAAAACAAAGAAATGGAAAGAACCTAATATCCACCTGTAAGGACCTGTTAACTACAAATCACATCATATACTATGGAGCTGCAGGGAAGAAGGAGGTAGATTTGCGGAGACTCCTGTGGGAAGAGTTCTAAAGTCTGTTAGGCGAAAAAGCAAAAGCAAGGTGTAGAATGCAATATACAATCCTACACCATTTATATATTTTTTAAAATTTATACTGGTATATGCATAGGGATATTTTACAAGCACATATTAGAAACAACTAGCCACGGTTGCTTTTGGAAAGGGAGCTCAAAGCTGGAGAGGAAGGTCTAGGGAGACATTTCTCCATTTTTAATGCCTTTGTGCTATTTTGAATTTTTTATTTGCATAATGCTAAAAAATGTGCTGCTGGTACAAAAACAGATTAATAAAACTAAATTTCCAGGATTTATGTAAATCCAGACATGAATTTCAGAAATGTAACAGAATTTTAAATCATCCATGAACATTTCAGTGAATGGTATAGAGATCAACCATTATTCATTTGGAAATAATACTCAAGGTCATCAGGTAAACAGATCACGCTAGGTATTTCAAGCAGAAAGGGTCTTAATAGAGAGAATTAAGTTTCACATTTACGGAGTAAAGCTGCAGAGCTGGTGTCTCCTAAAAGTTGCAGGGGCCACCACCCTGTGGAACCCACACTGTCAAGGGCACCAGGACTCATCACTGCCACTGCCACTCTCTGCACCAGAAGAAACGCTTCTTCTGTCATTCCACCTTCTAGTCTAATCTACGCCTCTCACGGGCGAACCAAAACCAGAAGCTCACTGCAAGGGCATCTGGGAAATGGTTAAAGCACTCAGGCCCTGGTGATACAGGCTGTCGGGGACAGTATGGATAACCCAGTGTGGGATGGTAATATAAAAATCAGTTACTTTCTGGAAGAAAGTACTCAGGTTGAATTCCTTAGTTCATACCTAAAACACATACATTGTTCGGGAAAAAAAATAAGATTTAAAAGATATAATGATGAACACATCAGAATTAGATAAAGACAACCAAAGGGTAACAAAGATTACTTTCTACATTATACTGGGTTGTTGGAAAACTCATGACGCACTTTTGCTTGGAAAACAGAAAAAATATGACATGACTTTCCCAACAACCCAATATATGTCTTTGCTGTTAAATGTTTTGCAATGACATTTATAATTCACAAAAACAAAGACTGTTCTTAGGAGCAGGGAAATGGGATCAAGGTTGTAAAGCACAGGATAAAAAATGTAAGAAGACTAAGAGCAAAGCCAGCCAGGAACTAGGCCCTCCTCTCCATACCCCAACTCCAGAGCAGGTTCCTTCTCCCACTGGGGACAAGTGTTCTCCCATGGTGACATTTACTAAGGAGCAAGTCTTCCTGAGAAATCTGCTGACCAAGAAGC